GTTCACAGTCCAGGACCGAATACACTCTACATGCAAGGTCACCAAGATTCACCGTTTACTGCAATGTCACCAGCTAACACCAATTGGCCAGGTTCACCAAGCATGCCACGGCCTTCTCCCAGACCAGGCCAAAGTCCTGAACATAAATCTGGTAGTGGTACTGCGGCAGGTACAAATACCTCATCTGCTATGTCACGTGTGCCATCTAACCGTTCTTGGGCTGGTGCCACACCTACATTGCTCACACATGAAGCATTAGATACAATTTGTCGGCCAAGTCCACATCCTAATAAAGATATAAATGTGCCGGATATAAGTCCACTTGAACGCTTTCTTGGTTGTGTATACTTGCGTCGACAACTGCATCGCAATATACAGAGCGATGAAACATTGACGGCACTTAATTCTACGGAACCTGGTGTAGTGCTCTTCAAAGTGGATGGGCTACAATGTCAAGTGGTATTAAATCAACTGCACATGCAATCTCTACACTTAAAAATTACACAATTACCAGCACCACTTACACCAGATGGAAAACATCCGTTTCAATTGGCTCCGGATGATTTGCTTACGCTTGAACAATTCTTTGATACACGCGTTGCTGTATCACCTTATCGTCCCAACGCACTTAGTGGATTCACTCGTGCACTGAATTGTGCACCACAAGTCCTTAAGGACTTTGTGCAAATTATGCGTTTGGAAATGAACCCGGAATTAGGTGGTGATCAACTGAAATGGACAGTGCAGTTTTGTATGCGGGTACCACCGACAGCTACACCAATCGTACCAGTTGGTAATTCAGGTGTGCTGATATGTAAACTGAAAATCTTATTCTTCGTAAGTTAAATATTATTATATTAAAGAAAAAATAAATGAATTAATATGGTATTCTTTTTGTTTAGCTACAAATTACGCGTATACCTTATAATAGTAAAGATTGGAAGGAGAGCCCATCGTTAGTACTTCCTATGGTATACGACTTAAACTCTAATATCACACAATTGGCGGAAAGGCGTGAACAAGGACCTTCGACGGCTGCTAATGCAGCTAGTGCTTTACTTCGCCGCTTCTCCGAATTTAGTGCACAACATGGACAATGTTCGCTATTTCCTGCAGTACGTGATTTACTAACAAATCTACAATTGCCAAACGAGGGTCCTCCACAAAATCAAGTAGATGTTTTTATTTTTTTTATTTTGTTATATATAAAAATGTTGTTTTCTTTTAAATTGTTATAAGGCTATTGGACAAGGAATGGGACCCGTTGTCGGTGCAAATCCGAATCCTATGATGCTTTCAGCAATGGCGCCAATAGGACAAGTTGGTCCACAACAAGTTGGACCTGGTTACCCACAAATGGGTCAAAATCAGGGTCAACAGTGATGAAGGCGTAAGCGCCGCACGTCAAATGGTAATATGACACACAGTACGCGGCAAGTTTAATTATAATTATAATTTTTCTTTATTATTTTACTAATTAATTTTTTTTTCGAATTTTAAACTATGATTTGGTGTATTTTATGTCCTGTCTATATTATAATGTATCAACTAATCACAATGCTATAATTAGATATATATACTAATCAACTAGATTATTTTAGACCACATCTATATATGAATATATGAAGTATAATAGGATATATATACGAGTAGTGAGTAAAATAAACATGATATCATTTAATGTAAATCACGTAAAGAATCAAAATAGTTGTACTTATTTGTGTAATTTTAAATTAATTTGTGGAGTAAACGTTTGGTGTGTTGTTTGACTTGACTATGTGTTGATTAACATACTTAAAAATTTGAGAATAAGCTTAGTTATAAAGTAAAAACCTAAATTGATTTTTTGTGGAAAAATTATGCAGAATAACTTTATCTATATAAATATATAAAATCGATATTCAGTAAATGTGGTATAAGTGAAATTATTATTTCATAACTGTAGCGTGAGAAAATATTAAAAAATTTAATTATGTATACATTATTAGTAAGCGTTAAGCACAAAAAAATTTTCTAAAACCATAAAAATTATAAATAAGAATTAAAATTTTTTATAGGAAAGGTTTTCCGCGTTAAAAATTGTCTATGTTAAAAACTTATTTGAAATGTCAAGTCAATAGTAAATTTTATCGGGTATTTTGAATATATTCCACAAATTAATTTAAAATGTCTTAAAAGTGTTTTAACTTTTTTCTTATATATTTTTAATATGTTATATGTGCTTATAAAGTGTGGTTTCATATTTTTAAAATATTATGAGAAAAAAAATTTTATATGTTAATTTTTTTTTTTTGGAATAATTTGTCTAGTATTTGAATTAATTTAATAATTTGCGATATAAAATTGAACATTTCATTTTTATATTTTTTTTAGTTCAATTTGAAAAATTATTCCGTAAACAATATATTTGGTTTAAAAAAATATTAACTTCCCAATTTATTTTAAAGTATTATCATTTTTATAAAATATTTCAATATTAAGATAATAAAATATTTAATAATTGTTTCATAAATGTCAATTAGTATTGTTTGCTATTAATAATATAAGAATAAAAAGTTTTAAATTGTAATAAAAACTGTATAATAATATATGATATAAGAAATTGATTTTTGAAAATTCATATATATTAATACAGAAACTGATTTTTAGCATTAGAAATTAAAATTTAGTTTAAGTAAATATTAAATTGATATTAATATATTTATTTAATTTGCTTAAGTGAAAAAATGTTCATCAAACTATATAACAATTGTATTAAGGGATTGCATATATATTTATAAAAATAAAATTAATATAAAGTTCATATATATAAAGTTTATATTTAAAAAGTTGATATAATTATTGGAAAGAGATATTTTTTACAGCCAATTTAATTTCTTATCAAACGATAATTTTTTAATTTGTGTAATTATTAACAAGACATATGTGAAAATACGAAAACTAATAATTAATTTTCATTTAGTTATTTAATATAAGTTCTTATATAAATAATAAATTAAATAAAAATTAATCATTTTTTATATTCACATAAGTCTTAACAACTATTATAGATAATTCATATAGTTTTCTTTAATTTCGATATACATTCATTATTTAGGCGGAAAATATATTTTTTAAAGTTCTGATATTCTTATGTTTTCTCTCCGAAATATAAACCTAGATACTTTTAAAAAACACAAATCTCTCAAAACAATTTATACTAATAAAGATAATACAATAAAAAAAAAGTTAAGAATAAAATAACAAAAATTATGAATAATAATCAATAATAAATATTATTTAAGACTAAATGTTTTAAAAGAATTATTATTTAATAATAAATATTTTTAAATAAGAGATTTTATTTATTAATAAATATTATGCAATATGAAATATTATTTATTAATAATTATTACTTAAGAAATATTGTTTAATAATAAATATTATTCAATAAGAAATATTTATTAACAAATGTGGTTTAATGAGAAATATTATTTAATAATAAATATTTACTAATAAATACTATTCAATAATGAATATTGATAAATATTATTCAATAATTCTTTAACAAATATTGTTTAAGAAGAAATATTATTTAAAAATATAAATTATAGGTATTAATATATTAAGGTATTAAGGTACTAATATTAATATATTAGCAAATCACTATCATTGGTTTAAGGACTAATTTCTCTTCTTTACAGTAACGCTTATCCGTGCATTAAACATAATAAACAAAATTAAGAAAAAGAAAATAATATTTGCACAAAGTGTAAAATTAATAATACTGTATAGAATATATATGGAATATATGTATATACGGTAATAAATTATATTCTATTATAAAACAATAAATAAAAAGAGATAAAATATTATAATAATATTAACCCAAAATAAAAAAAGCTAAGCAATATTTATAATTTAAACACAAGATAATAACAAAACAGTCTAAATATTATTCTTAAAAATGCAATAAAAATGGTAATTTAATAACAAATTTAATATAAACATAATATACATTACTTTACTACACTAGATACTTCACTAGACGGAATGCCGTCTCTAACCATATACCAGAAAAGACTAACAGTTAGAGACTACGTTCATATTGCAATAAAGTTTTTAACAGATATCTACCTGAAATTTGTAATGATGAAAGACGTGCAGCGAAGATTTTTATTGTCCAATTGAAGTCAGGATATAGCCATGAATTAAACAGTTACTTGGACAAATAAACAACTATTCTCAATATTTGCCTAAATTGTAGCTCAAGTCATATGTCGCCCATGTTTATTTGACTTAACTCCAATTTACGTCGTATTGATCTCCAGATCTATCCTGTCGAAATGGCAAGGTTCTTCCAACGTACCCTAGGCAAGTTTCAATTAGCACCTCACCGACACTTATAATCTTCTATCTCATGCCCCATTACCCTCTTTATACCCCTTCTCAATCCGTGTATCATATTGTAATCTATTTAAATTTCTACTTTAAGAATCTTTAGGTTACAACAACAACATAATTTATAATCATAAAAATATTTAAATCATATACATAATAATAAATATTATAACAATAAAATAATAACAAATTTTATATACAATATTTAATTTAAAATATACTATTTAATTTAATATATAATATCAATAATTTAATTAATATCAAATTTTATAATATATAATAACACCATATATTTAATTATAAAATATAAATACATCATAAAAAATTATGTTTAACGAAAAATATATATCATAATTATATAATAAAAAATAATAATATTAATAATAATATTTTCAATATTAACTATAATATTATTTAATATCAAATAAACCATAAACCATGAAACATGTACTAATACATTGATACAATATATAAATCAAGTTATTGCATATAACCTATTATAGAAATCTTAATGATTTATTTTAGTTTATTACTAAAAACAAAAATTAATTTATTTGTATAAAACATAAATTTATTTAATATTTAAAATTAAAACTATTAAACCATATTTAAAAAATAATAACAGTTATCACAAAAACTAGTTCTTCACATACACATTTAAAGAACTCCAAAGTAAGACCCCAGATATAAACATTTTTTAATACATTACATTATATTACTTTTATACATTATGTACATACATTACATTTACGAAAAGATCATTCAAAACCAATTGTTTCAACAATACTCAGTGCAATAAAAATTTATACTATGACTTCAATTATACAATATACATCTTATATTAAAATTGTGTAGCTAGCTAAGGAATGCAAACCATAAAATTTTTTAATTATTGGTTCCAAAACCATTTCTAAGTACATCATAATGCATTCCAACAGTAACAAAAAATCTAACAAATGTCTATGTCTAATGACATTTTACGCAAGATCTTCTTTCGTCACTAGAGCAGTTTTCTCTACCTGAGCGGAAAGTTCCGTAATATCATCAACTTCATCCACAAGAGAGACCCAATAACGAACTTTTTTGTTGCGTAAGTAACTACCAGAATTGTCAAAAACTACAGTATCTGTAAAAAAAAATATATTTAACATTTTTTATTACATTTTTATTTATAAAAAAATAATATTTACATTTGGTATTTGGCCTTGTGGAAATAAAACCAATTTCATCCATTTCATTGGAAAAAACAGTTCCCAATGCTACTTCGTTATGCTTTTCACCAGTAGATTTGTCAATGCTATAAACACCAAACTTAATATCATAGTCAAATGTACGGAAATCCCAGGAAAGTATTTGATCCTTATTGTTTTTTTCAGCCACATCAAATTCTAATTTTAACTTATTGCCCTTTGTGACTATAGCCTCCGTAAAGTCTTTATCATCTTCAGTATTTTGCTCTACAAACATTTCTTGCGGTATTTTACCGGCCCAAATAATCTAAAAAAATATTTATTATACATAGTAGAAATCTGATTATTATTTTAAATAATAATCATTATTAAAAAATAATGAATAAATTAATTCGTTACAATCATCAACTTTCTAAAACGCAGATTTCAAAATGTTTAAGTTAAAGTTTATATTTTACAATACTATCGTTTAACAACCGCTGAACGAGTTGAAATTGTAAACTAACTACAAAATGGTGACGATTTCTTGTATCCAATTTTTTTTAGTGATGAAACTTATCTTCGCTTGGTGAATTTGTCAACAAACTAAATTGTCAGATCTAGAAATTCATAACTAACTATTGAAAACCATACACTGTATGGTGTAGCAATTGGTTTGGAGATGAAATAGACCCGAACTTTTTTAAAAAAGCCGAATGTCTTACATTAATTGTCAATCGCTACAACCACACGATTATTAATATTTTTCCCGTCTTGATTCTGATTCCGTCTTGAATCTGATTCCGTTTTGATTTCTCGGACGTATAATTCCACGTTTTAAGAGTGTGAATTCGCTACTATATAAGCCATTCGAATATCAAATCAGTAGATGTTTCATTTTATATTAAATCCAATGCTTGAACATAATAAACTGCTCAAACATAATGTTGTTGTTACCCGTGAAGACCTGCTTTTAAAATTCCCTTCGCGTCGAAATTGACGAGTGGCTTCGAGGCGTAGACCTGGCTGTTGAAACCTATTCGAATATAATCGAATGGGTTGATATGTTTGACCCGCATGTTTGTGTATCAAAATCTTGGAAGTTTCGAACAGATTGAGTTCCAAAATATTTTCAAGAACAACCCCGGATCTACACCCCAGAGCCACTCGCTGATTTGAAGGACCAATTGCCCTGCAACACACCCTAAAGAGATTTTACATGCAGGTCCCCGCGTACTTTGCTTGAATTTCTTTCAGGTTGCCTGCTTTATAAATTTCTACGGATTACAAAAACAGCAACAAGTGGAATACTATCATATAGAATATTAATATGTTGAAAGCTTAGAAGAGCTCCAATAATATTTGAAATACTTATATAAAATGATCATTTC